TTGGTTCTAATTGAGACCAAATAATTCTAAAAACCTCTTTTTATAAAAGAAATATAAAAAAGCCATCTTCCTCAAGGGCAAACCTGCTTTTTAACTGATTAATAATTGATTTGTTTCTTCTGAACTTTTTTTTAGTTAATTCTAATATTTCACACAAAAAGTTGTAGATTGTCTGCACTTCTGTTCATGATGTTTGAGTCCTTGATTCTGCAAAGTGGAGGAATAGAATCAGGTAGCTGACAGTGACTAGTTTGGCATTAGTTGAATCAAGTTGATTTATCATTAAAGGATATCAGAATCTGTAAAATATAACTACCTGGTTTCTCTATACATTAGTTTGGTTGGGAATTACCAAGTTTTCTTGTTTGCCAAAATGCATGCAGGGTAATTTATCTGGACAGAGACAAGGGCAGCCTGTCTTTATCACCAGACTGGAGGTGTGTTCTTATCACCTGATAATATTATTGGCACTTTTTTTTTTCATATATACCTGAATTTAGCACATCTTCAATGATGATTGTTCTTGAGCACTATCAATTCAATTTCACTTTTACTTCGTTAGATCTTTCACCTGCTTCAGATTTATCATTTATTTAGTCTAAAAAGTTTTATTTCATTTTTACAGGGTTATAGGAGCTCATCAGCTTCTGACACGTACGTTATTGGATAGTTATTATCTCTTGAAACCCTATCACTATGAAAAGTGGGATGGATTACTATCTTATACTTGAAGATCCATATTTATTGAACTATATACTTATCAATTACTGTTATACAGAGTATTAATTGAGTTTTTTTGGGTTGGCTATCTCTTTATACAATTGGGGTTGTTTCTCCTTTACCAGGCTTGAATTTTTGAGGTAACTCACTGATAAATGGGCAGTGCTTATAGCTGTTATAAAATGATTGGTTACTGATCAAAATCTCATAGTAATCTTTTTCTTCCGGGCGTTTTTTAAAATCATTTGGAGTGGATAATGTTGGGCTAAGGTCCTATGTGGGAGATGGCCCAAAACTTCTGAGTCTCGTTGCTTTTTTCTTCCTGTTCTTTTTATCTCCTGTTTATAATAAATATTTTCAAAATATAGCATTGATCTTCTGACATTAGTAATATATCCTACATCTGCATTTTCAAGTTCTGATTTCTCTTATAGTGAGTATATTCTACATGTAAACTTCATGTTATAGTTATTTAATAACATGAGCTATTCTCCCTTCCTGGATCTTCTCAGGCTTGCAGCAAATTGGCCACCAACCATGCAAATAGTTCGTCTCATATCTCAGGATCATATGAACAACAAGTAACAACTTCTTAATTGAAATCCTTCGACTGGCTATTAATAGTTTATACGTGGATCTGTTGTTCTTATGAGTAATGTTAATTTCATTTGATCTTATATCAGGCAATATGTTGGGAAAGCAGATTTCCTGGTTTTTCGAGCTATGAATCAGCATGGCTTTCTTGGACAGCTGCAAGAAAAGAAGCTTGTAAGTTTCGTAAATGCTTCTCCACCCATTCCCAAAATCCTCCAATCAACCTCAATATACAAAGCAGATATGTTTTTGTCTGCATTTGTGTTGCATAATATGTGATGATTTCTTCGATCTTTTCATTATTCAACCACATAATTTGTCATAATTTCCATTTTGTTCAGTTTTCTTGTTTCACTCAGGACTTTCCTGTGTTGATCTGGAATGCTGGGTAATAAGATCAATTTTTTGGTTTGAAAACCATTTTATTGAGCAGAAAGCATAGATCACTGCTACAGGAGAGTTTTCAAGTATCATCCACCTCTGTAAAAGGGGGTTGATTGAGAATCCAATTCTTAGTTTGCTAAGTTAATGACAGAAACTCGCTTTTTATTAAATAGGACGAGCGCTGTTATTGCTCATCTTCTTTTGTGAGAGCACATCTGCAATTTGATCTTGCACTCATTATCTCTGGTAAAAAGAATATTTTCTGATTTTACATTGAGGGAGAGCATTGCTGGGAAAGATGTCTTTTCTAGATTCATCTAGAGCATAGACTGAAAGGAAGACCAGATTTCTTAGATTTCCAAGACATTTTCCTTCCAATTTCCCCTAGTTATCAATCGTCTGTTTCTCTTGGACTGAATTACTGATCTTGTATGAGCATTGCTCTTTTGATGATTTGCTAACCACATATATATTGTGCACCTAAAGATGTTGAAGCAAATGAAACTCATTATGATATCACACAGGGTAGAACTAAATAGATTCTTAGCCGCAATAGTTGATCTGACATCAAATAACCCAAAATCTAGGAAAGAACAAAAAGGGGGAAAAAGGAGAAGTCTACAAATTTTCAATTGCAAGATGATACATATTTATATTCTTTATTTCGGCATTTATATTGTCACGAGTAACATTTTATCTTTCATCAAGAAACTGCATCTGAGCTCTAGGTTTTGAATTGCTCAATGATGTATTCTATTCAGTAATTGTGGATTTAAATGATTAATTTTATATCTTTAATGGTATTCTGGTGAGGAACTTGACATTTGTCTTCTCTGTAGTGTGCAGTCATCCAATTACCATCTCAGACGCTGTTGCTTTCTGTTTCTGACAAAGCCTGCCGCCTGATAGGAATGCTTTTCCCTGGGGTGAGCTTCATTTTATTGAGTTTATGAAATTTGGTTGCATAAAGATTTTTGGAAATCCTCTCTTCTTGCAGCCACAAATTTTTAAAACTTAAGGCTGCATTTGGTAAGTACTATGTTTTTTGTTTTTATTTTAATTCTTATACCTGGAAATATGTGTGGTAATTAAAATTTAAAAAAAATATATATATATATATATATAATAAAAGCAAAGATATGGCATGAATTTGAAAATAATAAAATTTATCTTTTGCTTTTTAGAAAATAATTTTAGTTTATACTACTATACATACACATGCTAAGATATGCCCCTCTGCACCCCTCCCCTCCAGCCTGTTTCCTCAAATGACAGGGCCATTGGAGGAATTCTTCATGGAAATTAAAAAGCTGCATGTCTTTTGAGCATCTAATAATGAACTTTCATTAGGAAGATTTCCCCAGCTCTATGCTTTTCCACTTTAATACTATATGCATTATCCAGAAATTAAATTTTTTTGAGATCAGGATATGGTTGTCTTTAAACCACAATTACCAAGTCAGCAGCAGCAACAACAGCAGCAGCAGATGCAACAACAGCAACAGATGCAACAACAGCAGCATCCACAGCTGCAACAGCAGCAGCTTCCTCAGCTTCAACAACAGCAGCAACATCCGCAGCAGCAGCAGCAGCAACCTCAGCAACAGCCACTCCCGCAGCTTCAGCAACAACAGCTTCCGCAGCTGCAACAGCAGCAGCAGCAACCTCTCTCTCAGCTCCAACAACAGCAACCATTGCCACAGCTGCAGCAACAACAACAGCAGCTTCCCCAACTGCAGCAACAGCAGCAACTACCACGGCAGCAGCAAATTGTTGGGTCCAGCATGGCTCCAGTCTATCCAACGCGTGCGCAGTTGCTTGCTCAGACTTCATCACAAGGGCCGCCTGACATCCCTGGGGCAGGCTTTATGGGTTAGTGCCCTTCAGCTATATTCTGGCATTAAATATTAGGAGCTGGTGGAAAACTATGTGGACAATCTGTCGTTACTCCCATTGTGTTCTTCAATCAGTTTCTTGAAACTGTAATAAGGTTTTCAGAATGATCTTATGGTTTTATTCAAGTTCTGTTTTATTATGAAATCTACTCAGTTCAATAATCCAGCGTGTAATTGATCGGGAATTGTGTTTTAGCTGGCCCGTGGAGCACGCTGGGGGGTTGAAACCGGGATGTTAGCATTGGATGGGAGGATTCCAATGTGAATTTGGTGAAGGAAGATAATATATATATAAAAAGATTGCCAGTGCCTGGCGGAATTATAGTTACGGTACAAGATAAGAGTAGTAGGTGAAATAAAAGGGCCAAAATTTGCAGATATATTTTAGTGGCCATTCTTTCGTTATTTCCACATGATCTGTAGAAATTAAATGGCATTACACGATAACAATCTTCTTAAGGTCAATACCAACTTCCAGAAAAGTTAGTTTGAAAGATTAGGAGTGTGCTTGTCATATTTTTCTTTTCCCCCATCTTTTATTGGGAAAGTTAATGATCGAAAATTGAAATAGAAGAAAGAGGAGAAAACCATAAAAGCCAAGGAACCTCTCCAGTTAACGAATGTACAAGCCGCTGGATTTCCAGTGCCAGTCTCAGTATCACTGATGTATCCCATAATATTTTTTCTGGTTTAAAAAGAAAATTTGAAAAGAGAGTTGTCAGATTGTCAAGTTACAGTAATTGAAAATTGTTCTTCCTTTCTGGTTTTTCCAAAGAAGTTTTACTCTGACCAGAAAATTTTGAGCGAAGTTCTTATCTCATGCTCTACTTTTTTTACTAGTTAAGATTAATTTCCTCCATTAATTTATCAGTTAAATTGGCCTAGATTCACTAATATAGAAGGCTCTTTTTTTTTTTTTTTTTTAATATCCGCTATCGATTTTTCTGACACTTCAGTTCTTATAGTTCTTTATCGTTTTATTAACATTAGTAAATTTTATATTAAATTTTCTAGCATGTTGAGTTTTTTTTTCTTCTCCTAATTTTGCTTTCTTAACTTGTGAAATTTTTATGTCTACATTTTTCTAAATACATACATGCGTGCATATGTGTACATATACAAATATATAAAAATTCAACAATTTAAAAAAAAAAATTATCATATTACTTCTCCAAATTTAGTACTTATTAAAGTTTGATTCATAATAGTTTGTTATTATAATTTGATACCTGATTTTTTTTATTCATTTAAAACTTTTAATTTTTTTTATTTCTTAAAAAAATTGAAATAGTTAAACTATATTTTATTATTTTAAAAATTAATTCGAAAAAAAAAATTTGATTAGTTAATTAAATTAATAAATTAATAACAATGTTATGTTTTTCACTGTTATTAATTTATTAATTACTCAAAAAATATTTGTTAAAATTATTTTTTAAAGCATCTATTTAATTACTCTAATTTTTTTTTTAATTTTTAGAATAAATAAAAACGTTAAAAATTAAATTATAATAACTCTTAAAATTCGAAAATTTTGATAATTTTATAAAAAAGAAAACCTACATATATCATATGTGAAAAAAACCAAATAACCATATATATATATATATATATATATATATATATTAGTAATCTGACTTTACCATATATGTGTGTGTATCCGTAAGTTACACAATTTAAACCATAATATAATGAGACCAAATGACCATATTTTGATTTAATCAAAGTTCATAAAATTAGATCATGATTACCATAATGCATACATCATGATGATATTAATGTTGTTAGGGTTTAGTAACAATTCATTAACTCTATTCTTGGTTTTTTTTTTTTTTTTCCAAATATTTTGTGTATTTTTTTTTAAATTTTTGTTATAATTAATTTGTATGAGTTATTTAATTAATAAAATATATAAATTTTTATCAAAAAAAAAATATCAAAACGAGGTAACTAACTTAAAATGTAATTAATTTTTTTATTTAAAAAAAAACTTAAAATCTAACTATGGAATATATATATATATATATATTATGTACTTGTTGGGATACAAAGATTTGTGGTCTAACTTTCGGCCCCCAAAGACAAATGGGGACACTGAGGCAGGAAAGAATGTGAACCGCACAAACTTTGAAGCACAAGGAGCCTCCTCCCTTTAATCATTGTTCCAGAACCCAAGGCCTTTTAATGAACCCACTGATATTACCCTAATCATTTCGAGATAGATTTGGTTTAAATTCACCACCCAACAAAAGTTTCCATCATTCGCTGCCAGACAAATCTTCAAAAAATTCGAACACTTCTTCTATACGAAATTTAAACATGTTCTGCAATCAAAATCACCTTGTCACTGTTCTTTGCCATGGAAAGCTCGGTCGCTTACTACACTAATTGATTTTTGAACAAACCCTTGATTTATATACATATTCATAAAGTTATATTATCAATTAGTGGGTGGTTCGTTAACATCAGTGTTCCACATAAATACAGGTGATTGCTTTTTTCAGTTGAGCTTTTTTACTTTTTGCTGCAACTACCTTCGCCTACGATTGGCTTCTTCTTCTTATATGAAAGAATAATCAAGAAGAAAAGTTGGGTGAGAAGCAAATTCCTGGAAATTGCTAGTACCAAAGTAAATATTCCTTTACCTTCTTAGATTTATTCCTTATAAAAAAGTTATGTTACTGACTACTACTTATACACGATGACAATCATCTGTGTTCCACATTCACAGGGTCTTCATATTATCGTCGAGGAAATTTGAAGATAATGGTCTCCACTTCTCCTTCAAAGGTGAGTATTAACTTATTAGGCTATGTCCGACTGCAGCTAAGTCAAACGGTTGATATTCTTTGTTTCTGAGATTTCTTTTCTTGAAAACTCTGAAGCAGGAAGTTCTGTCCATTGAAACATGCAAGGAAGCAGAGGCATCTCGGCGGGCCAAATGGTGGTACTCAACCTTCCACACTGTTACAGCCATGATAGGTGCAGGCGTTCTCAGCTTACCCTACGCTATGGCCTACTTGGGATGGTACATATATTTCTCAGCAAGTCGTAGCATATATACATATATATACATATCAGCTGGCTTATAAGAAGATAAATTCTGGTGTATGATTTTGTATACCAGGGGTCCAGGAATAATGGTTCTGGTGTTATCCTGGTGCATGACCTTGAACACAATGTGGCAAATGGTCCAACTCCATGAATGCATTCCCGGGACTCGTTTTGATCGGTATTTAGACTTGGGTCGACATGCTTTCGGTCCAAAACTAGGACCATTAATCGTTCTGCCTCAACAGCTGATTGTCCAGGTTGGATGTAACATCGTGTACATGGTGACGGGAGGGAAGTGTTTGAAGAAGTTCATGGAGATGGCTTGTACTAATTGCACCCAGTTGAGACAATCTTACTGGATCTTAATCTTCGGTGGCATCCATTTCTTCCTATCCCAGCTCCCTAATTTCAATTCTGTTGCTGGTGTTTCACTTGCAGCAGCAGTCATGTCTTTGAGGTCAATTTTCTTTTTCCTCTTCCTCTTACTCTTAACATAACTAGAAAACGACTTGATTGTTTATGTATCTAAAAATCATGGTGGGAATTTGCAGTTATTCGACAATAGCTTGGGTTGGTTGCTTGAGTAGAGGACGAATTGATAACGTGAGTTACGATTACAAGAAAACGAGTGGGGTGGATTCGATGTTTCGAGTGTTTAATGCACTGGGGCAAATTTCATTTGCATTCGCTGGCCATGCTGTGGCCTTAGAAATTCAGGCCACCATTCCATCGACTCCGGAGAAGCCATCGAAATTAGCAATGTGGAAAGGAGTGATTGGAGCTTATTTTATTAATGCAATCTGCTATTTCCCAGTAGCACTTATAGGCTACTGGGCGTTTGGACAAGATGTTGAAGATAATGTCATCATGGAACTCAAAAGACCTGAATGGCTCATTGCCTCTGCTAATCTAATGGTCGTCGTCCATGTCATTGGAAGCTACCAGGTATATCAATATATACATACAAAAATACACACATACATACATACATATGATCAATATGGATGTATTGAAAAATAAAGAATCTTTTTAACAGGTTTTTGCTATGCCGGTCTTTGCGTTGCTGGAAGGAATTATGGTAAAAAGATTCAGGTTTCCTCCAGGGTTTGCTCTCAGAGTCATTACTCGATCTGCTTATGTGGGTAAGATTCATTTTTTTTAATTTCTTCGAGAATTTACGTTGAAATACCTCAATATCATATGGTAAAACTATGCAATTGTTAAAATCTATATAAAATCATAAATCGCATATTATTAATAATCTCAATACGAGATTTTAGGACCTGATAGTTTGGTAAAAAAGTGTTTGGCACAGTAGTTTGCGATTATGTATATAAATATATGTATGCATAATGCAACTGATGATCACCTTTCTAAAATTAATGACAAAATCTACTTGAGTTGCAGCAATTACGCTCTTCATTGCAGTCACTTTCCCTTTCTTTGGAGATCTTCTTGGTTTCTTTGGTGGCTTTGGTTTTGCACCCCACTTCCTACTTTGTAAGCTCTTTTCATTTGTCTATACAGATATATGTATACATGTGTGTGTGTGTGTGTGTGTGTTGTTGAAGCTTTGGGTCCTCATTCTCAGTTATATCCATGTGCTGAACATTGTTGCAGCTCCCTAGCATAATGTGGCTGATTATCGTGAAACCAAGAAGATTCAGCGCTAACTGGTTCATCAACTGGGTAATCAGAATTATGTACTAATTACTCCACGTAATTATTGAAATATACAATAACACTTTCAAATTTTGCACATCAATTTCAGGCTTCCATATTCATTGGGGTGTTCATCATGTCTGCATCAACCATTGGCGGATTAAGAAATATCGTTGCAGATGCTTCCACATACAGTTTCTATACATAATTGTGAAAAATCATGATGTCCAGAGAGAGAGAGAGAGAGAGAGAGATTTTGATTGATGTAGCAAGACTAACTAGACTGCACTACGTTAATAATGTTTTTTTTTTTTTTTTGGTTATGTTTGAGCAATCAATCGTTTACATATGCATACATACATACATATATATATATATATATATAAAAGTATAATGTACATAATCCAAAGGCAATCCTAAAATGCTTTGTCTCTACCATTTTCTTTTTTAATGTATAAATAGTCACCGAGATGAATAAAGATTTAATTTGGGGTACTTCCCAAATCACTTAGCTTACGTACTAATTAATCGATTAGTTGTATCTTCTATCAAAGAAATTCAAGTGATTAATGAAATAAACTGAGATTTTTCTTTAGTAGATGGAACAAATTTAATAAAGCAAAAAGAAGATGGTGATCGATCAGGGCAGGACTTTAGAAAGTGGGAATTGAAATAAGAATTATGGAGACTTCAGTTTAATCACTTTTTTTAAAAGTAATCTGGAAACTGAAATTTCTCTTCAACTTCGAAGCATAATAATTGGACCCAAAAAAATTCCTTTCTTTTTTATTTTTATTTTATATATACTTATACGAATATGAATTTTGTATAACTTATAAACTTGGGGCTATTATACCATAGAGAAAGCTTCTCAGATTGTTTACATACATACATAGATATATATATATTAAATTCTGTTTTATGTTTATTTTATTATTAAATTATAATACTTTAATATATAATTATCTATTTTAATTTACATTTTGGATTAATTATATTACTAAATTTACAAATATCTTCAATTTCATGATTATATATTTGTATTATTTTTTATATTATCTTTTAATAGTTATAAAAATTATATTATGTATGTAGCACATTACATAAATATAGTTCTATTTAAAATACTACCACTTTATTATTCTGCCTTCAAATTTTTTAACACCAAATGCAAAGTATTTAACGTAACAACATACATTTGTTTTAACTTTTTATTGTTATTCATGCACTAAAGTATCGCTTTTGTGAAAGAGAAAAAAATAACATCTTCATTTGTTTGCGAGACCGATGATATACTTGGAATAAATTAGGTGAAAAATTATAACTAAATTTTGCATTGAAAATATCACGATTGCATATGTTACATGTCGTGTGTTTTTGCATAATATCTTATTTGAGTTTTAAAATAATATGAATACCTATTGAGTTTGTGAAATTTATTAAATTTTATCATGTTATTTTTCAGATAAGTAAAAAAAATCAGAACAATTACCAGACGAGTATAACTCGTGAAAATATTTTAGTTCATGTAAATTTTATTTATATTCTAGATATTACCGTCTTGTTTTATTAAATTCTATATTTTGAACTCATTTTCTGTATATATAAACATTATATATATTACGAGAAACGTTAGATTTTATGTTAAACTGTGTACATGCATGTTTTGTGGTCTCATAATAAAAGAATAGTCTGAGTAGAGTTGTGCCTCAAGGGACATTTTTTAAAATTTATTTAAAAATTAATTCATAATTTAATTAATAAGGCTAATCATTCTATTTAAAATATTAAAAATTGAGCTTTATATAGAATTAGAAAAATGAATTTAGACTCTCAACTTATGAAGTTTTAATAAATTTTGTTCAATTATCCTACTAATAACTTTTAAAATTAATTCTAAATTGCTTCAAAACAAAACAAAATTGACAAATTTCATGCACTTTGAAATTGAGCTTAATAATTTTTTTGGGTACCCAAAAAAATCTCAATTCCATATCAATTATTTATGAAAACTATGTTGATGGATAAATTATAATGAAGAAGTTTCGAGATACCTTGTAATACATTGTGTCCATAAGTTTATGCAAGTTAAATTCTAAAAGATTTTTTTTTAAATGAAATTTTAGTATTAATTAAATAAATTACCAACTTTTTTTAGTAAATACAAAATATAAATTTACATAAACCTCCAATGATGTGTGACAAGCAACATGTACACCACAATTATAGAAGGGGGATTTTTTTTGCGGTTCGAAGTCATGAGAAGAAAACGCACCGTTTAACTCGGAAGTACCAATTCCAGATAGAGTGCAAAAACGACGCCACTTCATTGCACTGGAGTCGTTTAAGGCCATAACCACCCATTTCTCTGTTTTTTTTTTTCTAATTTATTTTTTTAATAAAATATAAAAACTAGAGCCAGAGCCAGAGCCAGAGGCAGTATTGGTCGAGAGAGGGGAGACTTCGTTGTGATCCTGTGGTTGAAGAGAGAGATGGAAACTGCGATTTGTGGGAGACTTTCTCTCTCGCCCAGCACTGTCTTCAATCCCAAACCAGGTTCTTCTTCTTTCTTTGAATTTCTTCATTTGATGTGCTGTACGTTGTTCTTATTCAATTCAGTATTTAGGTGTTAATTATTTCATTCACTCCAAAAGGTTTTTTCAATGGAAACCTTCAAAGGTATTTCTTGGCGGCTTTTTATTTTGAATTCG